TATCCAAGAGACAGCTAATGCTTTTGTCTGGACCATGACTTACTGAAAATTCTTTTTTGTTTTTTTGAGACAGGGTCTCATGCTGGCCTGGAATTCATTATACCACCCCAGGTTAGCTCCCTGAGTACTGGAATTACAGGGGCACACCACCACATCCAGCCTTGAAAATTCTTAAGAGCTTCTATAATTTTAATCAACAGAAGTACTTCATATTGCACAAATCTAATCATAAATTCTTCATAAGAAGATCATAAGAAAGCATAAAAGCACAAAGTGAATTGCTTTTCCGAGACAAACACAAGATAGCCACAAGCAATCAGTCTTCTCCCACCATTTTTCTCCTTCCTCTGGCGACAACTTTCCATTTTCCTTTGCGCAATAACTTCTTTCCATATCTTTCAATTTATGTGATTTGCAGCCACTTAAATGTGTGCATATGACCCAGGCGAACCAACAGAAACTTTCTGTTCTTCTCATTAATTCATCCAAGGCCCACAAGTCAATGGGACAAAAAAAGACTCAGTCCACAACTCCTGCTAAAAAATTGCTAAGACTGACTATATGTGATCATTAGTTGCACCTAGTTGTAGAGAATCTGCCTTTTTATAAAGAAAAACACAGAGGAAATCCAAATTATTGAAAGAGCAAGACGCAGGCACCTAGTAATTTGGAGCACTGAGATTTTTGATACAGATCAAGCCTTGCTTAATCTACAACCCTAACTTTTTAGTTTCTTGAGCAAATTAATAGTCTCATTTTGCTTAAGCTAGTTTAATTTCTGTCATGTAACTGAAAGAATCCTAGCAAATATAAAGGTGTAAATCTGCTTGCCAACTAATATAAAAACTGAGCCCTCCCTTCTATATTCTTCCCCTTCAGAGGACAGAGTTGTCTCTTTGGGTACTCTGCTCCTACCCAAGAGAGGACATCCTCTCTTCTCTTGTGCTTCTCCCTTCCATACCATTTTTCTAATGCTTCTTAGCTTTGTTTTGTTCCTTTGATTTGCTACAGATTGAATCCTGGGGCTTGCTCATAAGTACAATGGTACACTTACTGAGGACAAATTGGGTAAACAAGATGGAAGTCAAATCTTGGAAAGGTCATACTTCAGGATGAGAAATATTAAATGCTAACCTCAGAAAGACCATAACATTCCAGTAAAATCTCTTCAATTTACCCATGAAGAAGGAACCAATGTAGACTTATATTAAGTGTCACAAGAGAAAGTGACAATCCTATGCCACCACATCATATTCTCCAAAGCAGAATATAAAATAAACAGAACATGTCTAACAAGAAGTTAGAAACAAGGATCTGACTTAGAGAAACCTCTTGCCTGGGGATGTAGCTCAGTGGTAGAGAACTGTCTAGCATGAAAAGGCCCTGGGTTTTGATCCCTAGCAGTGCAATAAATTCATAAACAAATAAATAAAGGAGTCATCTACAAAGCTAGCATCTGCAAAGGTAAAACCTAAAGGGAAAGAACATACAAAAGGCAAAGACCAAACCTTGGAGAATTAAGTACAGCCAAACAAGGTGGTATACTCAGCTAAGAAAAAAAAAAAAAAACTTGATAGTACCTGGATAATGGAAGCCAAAAAAAGAGAAACTTTTAAAAGCATATGTGAACAGTTGGCTCAGGGGGTAGAGTGCTTGCTAGAAAAGTGCAAGACCCTTAATTAAAAAAAAAAATCTTAGCACAAAAACATACGTGAACAGTGAAAACCAGCAGAGATCAGAAAAATGGAAACCAGGATGTGGGCACTTAGGGCACCATGCTCTTACACAAGTACACCTTGTATTCAGAAATCTCACTAAAAGCAATTGAAATCTTATTTCCACAAGAAATAGCACTCTCTTTTTGGTAAGCTATCCCCCATCACCCCAACTTCTGCCAAAACCAGCCCAAATTGGGAGTGGTAGTACAGGCCTGTAATCCTAGCACCCAAGATGCTGAGGTAGCAGGATCCTGAGTTTGATGCCAGCCCAGGCTACAGAGCAAGACCCTATCTCAAAAAAAGAAAAAGAAAACCAAAAGAAGCACACAAAAAAAAAAAAAAAAAACTTAAAATAACCATTTATCTATCAATAGCAAAATGGGTTAATAAACTATAACATATAATGGAATTCTACAGATCTTCCTAGCTATGCCTCCCATATAGCTAGGATTATAGACATGGGCCACCAAGTCCATCTTATCTGTTGAGATTGTTGGCGGGGGGAGTAGGTGTCTTTACCAACTTTTTGCGTCTGGCCTCGAACCATGCAACTGACAAAGTGTAAGAAAAGAGAATGCATTTAATATTGATGTTCCCAACATTCTCCTTAGACTAAAATAGGTTTGGCGATTTAGGATTACAATTCATCTAGCATACTAGTTGACTCTACATACAATATCCTAAAGGATGCTGCTCCTTAGTTTTCCCTCTTTAGAATTTGCATTCACCACAGTAAGAATATTTAATTAAGCTTGGCATGTTGGCTCAAAACCTATAATCCAAGCACTCTCTCCAGAGCAAGAGGATCACGAGTTCAAGGCCAGCCTAAGCTACATAGCAAGCCCGTCTTTTGGGGACAAGAAAAATAAGGAGAAAGATATGGGAGTTTGCAATGAAGTATTCATTTTCATAGCAGGGAGCCAACATAAGATACCAATTTTTATATGAAAGTATTTCAAGAAATAGAGGCATAACTTTATTAAAGTTACAGTAAAAACCACTAGAATTAAAAACAAAAAGCTGAAAGTGACAATGAAGATCAAATACTTAGTCTTCATTTTATGTTCCCATATCCTACTTGAGAAACAAAATTTTAACTATTCTCAGAAGAGAATGAGAATAGCAGAGCAAGCACTCAAGGAAATCCATCTAAATATTAATAATGGTTGTGACTACCTAGTAGAACTAAAAGAGCTGTTTTTCTTTCTTTTCTACATATTTTCCTAACCTCTGCAGTAAACACAAGTTTATCTTACACTGGAGAGATGGGAGGAAGAATTTTTTTTAATGTCTCCCTAGTATTATTAATGTACAATAATTCAAAAATAAAATTTAACTGGGCGTTGGTGGCTCATGCCTGTAATCTTAGCTAATTGGAAGGCTGAGATCAGGAGGATAGAGGTTCAAGGACAGACCAGGCAAATAGTTCCCAAGACCCTATCTCCAAAATAATCAGAGCAAAATAGACCAGAGGGGTAGCTCAAGCAACAGAGCACTTGCTTTGCAAACATGAAACCCTGAGTTCAAACCCCAGTCCCACCAAAAATGAACTTTTTTAATTAAAAAAAAACTTTAATGAACTTCAGGGTTGTAAACAAAAATGGCTGGGCACACAACAATGTAAATATGGTTAAAACTACTGAACTACATACTTAAAATAGCTAAGATGATAAATTTTAAATTTATCTGTTTTGCTGCACTGATATTTGAACTCAGGGCCTCATGCTTGCTATGCAGGCACTCTTTGCTTGAGCCTCTCTGCCAGTCCTTTTTTTTTTTTTCTTTTGTGAGTGGTTTTTTTGTGATAGGGTCTTGAGAACTATTTGCCAGGGGCTGGCTTAGAACAGAAATCCTCCTGATCTCTTCCTTACAGGTGTGAGCCACCAGTGCCTGGTTCAATTTTTGTTTTTTAAAAGTTGTATCAAAAACACATAACAAATCGGGTTCAGGCCTGCAATTCTAGCTACTCAGGAAACAGAGATCAGGAGAGTCGAGGTTCAAAGCAAGCCCAGGAAACAAAAGTGAGACCCTATCTCAAAAATATTTGGCAGCCAAATAAAATAAAATTTAAAAAAAAAAAATGATAAAGAAATACAAAGTAGATCGTTCTAAATGGTTGATCATACATTCTCCATTCAACATTCAAATATGCACTGAGCACGGATCTGTGCAAATAAGACAATTCTTTCCTTCTTTACCAAAGACAAGAAGCCACACCACCAACAGAACATTAGAAAGACTAGTGTCTAGCAGGCAAAAAAACAACTTGTAAATTATTTATCATCACAAGGTAATATTTCTGTCTTAAAAATAACAGACTATTGTCCATGCATTTTTGACCACCTGCAACATAAATGTGATTTATATAATCACAAACTTCTCTTTGGAATTAAATGATTTCAAGTTCAGATAAAACTGTGAACACCTGTTGATCCTGTAACTTAACACTTTCAAAATTTAAATTCAATTGGCAATATCCCATAAAGGGCTTTGTCCTCAGATTTTCAACACCATTCAGAATTTTAGAGTTGGTTCAGGATGACATAATGAAATTTTATAAATCCCCTGTACAGTTCCTGAAGAAAAAGTGATCAACCATTTCTGGGCAGTCAGAAGAGTGAAAAACTCATCCGTATAAAATACGGTTAAGTCTCGGGGTACCTGTTTAGGAAGGGGCTAGAAACAAAGTCATGATTTCCTTGACTGAGCCCGGGCACCCTTCTTTAGCTGTTCTACAGGAAAAGAACGTCTACCCCGCATCGAGCGATTTAAGAACCGAGGCGAGCGAGGCACTAGGAGCTTTCATGGGCTGTCACTCAATGCTGGCATTTCCCGAAACAGGGATCAGTAATGTCAGTGTGCGGATGAAGAAGCTGAAGCCGGCCCGAGGATGCAGATCCACTTCCACCCGGCCCTCAAATCCCTGCTCTGACCTAAGCCCACACTGCCCGGGAGCAGCTTTAAGAAGTCGGGGACTTCGCTGAACGGCTCTGGGATTCAGTTCTCCAGCCACCAAAAAGCCTCAGCGCCCACACGGGCAGCGCTGCCCCGCCCAGCCGGTGGGTTTGCAGCCGAGGCCGCGCGCGGACCTCCAGCCTCCAGCAGCAGGACCGAGCCGACCCGGCAGGAGCCCACGCCGCCGGCCAGGATAGCGGGTGAGGAACGCCGTGGGAGGGAGGAACAAAGCCCGGCTCCGTGGGTCACCGTGACTCAAGGCAAGGGCGGTAGTACAACGGGCCCACAGCTGGTTTCCTAGGCAGCTGGACCAAGAACTTGGCTCACCTCCGGCCGGAGTCGCGGGCTGGCACCTCCCCTTCATTCAGCGCTTCAGCCGCCATCTTCGTCAGCAGCTCTTTTCACCGCCCCTGCCTCAGGCCCCGCCCCACGCGTTTGGATTGGCTAAGGTGTTTCCTCATCTCCAATGCTATTGGATAACTCGATGGGCCGGCCCCAGCCTGAACAGTCCTATGATATTATTGGTCTGTTCAAATACCTAACCGTCATTGGTGCCCCCCCGCAGGGTGGCGGAAAAGAAAGCCTTGAGACCTGCTGGGAGTTGTAGTTTCTCATTTTGATTACTCTTTTACATTCCACCTATTTTTAGGATCAATTCAGAAATCCTCAGCCGTGCTCAGACTTTTTTCCTGATCTGTAAATTTCAAAATTACAGAACTTTCAAATTTGAAAGTGACTGTAAGAGTCACTCTAAAATGCAAGACTAGTTTTCTGTCTTAAGACAGACACAGAACAGCAGCCAAGGACAGTTTGCCCCATATCTGCAGTTTATGTATGTATCCAGAAACAAAAGCAGATCCAAAGTATTCAAGGAAAAAACTGTGTCTGTACTGAACATGTACAGACACAGTTTTTGTCATTATTGCCTAAACCATACAGTATTAAAACTATTTATATAACATTGGGCATTGTAAGTATTCTAGGTTGATTTAGAGTGTGCAGATGTACATAGGTTTTAAACAAATACTACTGCATACTGAATGAGGGAGGAGCATCTGTGCATTTTGGCATCCGTGGGGATTGGATCCAGTCCCCCATGGCACAACTGTACTTACTATTCAATGTAGTTCAAAGGCTTCTTGCTTCAGTTAGCCACAGTACACAAGGATAGATTCCACCCCTCCCTTCTGACTTCCCAGAGAACCCACAGTTTGCCTCCCTAACATGTATCCTGGAACCAAAAGTTCTGTGACTTTGTACCTAACTGAGCCTTAATCCTCTGAGGTAGAAATAGCCACAATTACAATTTCCGGAACAGGTTTCTGGTGAGGACTGAGGCAACTGAAGAACATTGTAAACTTAAAAGAGTTAGCTTTTTTCTGTACTTTTTTTTATACTTGAGTTTTCTGGGGACATTTTTTTCTGTCCTTCTGAAGTTCTTTCACCTGAGGTTCTCCCAGAAAGCACTCTCCCTCTCTTTCACAAAGCTCTGCCCTGCTTCAGGGTTTTGCACATGCTGCTTTTTCTGTCTGGGCCTCCTCTTCACTTTACCATTTTCCAAGTTTCTGCTTAAATGTCACTGATTCAGAGGCCTTCCATGTGAAGCAGGTTAGAGGGTCCCAACACTCCCTAGGGACATTTGACAGGGGGTTAAGAGCAGTTAAGCATAGTAAGAAGGAAACTCTGTTAGGCACTGTTAAGAATGTTGATTTCATGTTAATTACTTGGTGTATATATTCCTTGATATTTTTTTCTTTGAAAATTTAAACTGTTGGGAACAAGCCGCTCAATGGCTTCAGCAGCAGTTGTTATATCCCTTCCCATGCCTGGCTGCCTCCAAGAAGGTTGGTGGTGTTAAATCCTCTAATACCACTCTGAGGAACACCTCCCTCCAGCTGCAAGGGCCACTGCCACTGGAAACGACTCTGCTCAGAAGGCCTTGCTCCAATCACAACTACTCCGGACAACCCAGGACTTGGAAGGAAGGTCCCAAACAAGACAAGCCTAGGTGACCTTTAGATGTCCCTACAACTATTCTCACTCATCATGGGAAAGGAAGTACCACCTCAGTAATCAGCAAAAAGCCAGTGATTGGTGGAATTGGAAAGTGTACTATGATTGGTGCAAATAGAGTCCTTCATTTGCAAGCCACACTCATGCCACAACCACACCCACTCCTGGTTGTATAACCAGGCTGTTCACTTTTTAAGTCAGCCTGGAAATACTCTCCTACGCTGCCCCCTGGTGTTGCAACATAAGTCCCAATAAAAGGCTTCAGAATGGTCTATTCTTGCCTACTTGAGACATTTTTTGGTAGGACTGGGTTGGAACTCAGGGCTTTGAGTGTGCAAAGCAGGCGCTCTACCACTAACCCACACCTCCTGTCCATTTTGCTCTGGTTATTTTTTTGGAGATGGAGACTCAAACTATTTGCCTGAGCTGGCCTTGAACTGTGATTCTGCCGATGGATCTCACCCTCTCAAATAGCTAGGGTTACAGGTGTGAGCCACCTCACTGGCCACTTGTGACTTTGTCATAAGTAGAGTGGGCTAACATGCAGCAGTGGTGGCAGTAGCAGAAAGAGGATACAGAGAGCAAAGGACAGTGGACTGCAGAGCAGTGGTAAAAGACTCCGGGCCCTGGTTGCCCAAAGAGTTCTTGGGAGCTGCCAAGCCTTAAAGGCCAAGGCCCTCAACACCTGAGCCTCCAGAGCTGCAACACTGCTGCCCACGCTGTCGTCAATAGCTGCTGCTTAGAGTGAGGAGTTCACTGGCCTCTGAGCCAGGTAGCTGGCCACCAAGAACTGAGAGCAGAAAGCACCTAACCTGAGCACCCAGAGCTGAGTCTCTGCCTTCTGAAGCCTGGAGCCGTAAGTCTCCTAGTTTTCAGGCCTGGAGCTAAAGCCCCTGTGTCAGTCAGCCCAGCCCATAAGCCATCAGCAGCATTTAAGGTCCCAGGATTGCCCACCCTAGAACTAGTCACACCTCTGAGTAGAGCACAGAGACGTGGCTGCTCCCTGGTAACACGTGGGTCTCTGTTAATCAGTTCCCCCACAACATTTTCATATGCTAGGCAAGTGCTCCACCACTGAGCTACGCCCCTAACCAGCCCTTCATTGAAATTTTTCAATGAACCTCAGACAGATTGGAAAACCTAGGCTGTATTAATTGCTAGATACACAAAGCAGGAAACCCAAGGTCCTAATTCTGTCCTTCCCACAAAGTATGAACAAGTTTTATTTCAGATCCCATGACACCCAGCATGTGATTGATCAGCCGACTGATTGATGTTTTTCACAAAAAAGGAAAAGTTAAAAACTTTACAGTATTATCACTGCACCTAGAAAAACATCATGACATTGTATTTCTGGTTCATCCGCTTTGATGAAGAATCCTATTGTTATATGTTTGGGGAAATGTGGCACAGCTGTCAAAACCATGTGCTCTCAAGTTAGTAAGGCCTGGTTCAAATCCCAGCTCCAGCACTTCTAGCTGTGTGGCCCTGGACAAGTTACTCATCTTTCTGATCCATTTTCTCTAATGTAAAATGAGGATACTAACTCTCACAGGGCTATTGCAATGATTAAATGAGATAATCTCTAAAAAGCGGCTTAGCAACAGTGTCTGGAACATTCTGAGACTAGATGAATGTTTGAGATGACAAGAAGAATATTTAGAATGCCACACTGCCTCCTCTCTCCCTGCTATGTCCTAAGAACCATGCATTACACTGTAGTTACAGATTAATCGTTTACCCTGGAGAGGGGCGTGTTTTGCAAAACCAACAGTTCCGCTGTGGTGACTTCTGATTAAAAGCAAATATCACTGCTGAGTGGTGTAGAAATATGCACTCAGCTGCCACACCGGCATGCCTTGTATCTGAAAGGGTGTCACAACTCCCCTGAGGTTGTTCTTACTCTATCCAGGTACTGATTGTTGGCTAGGTGACAAGCATGGGTGTCCAGCAAGAATTCAAGACAGATTGTACAAAAGATCACAGAGTGGCCCTAGCCCTTGAGAAATTTACAACAGACGTAAAGAAACAAAATGAACACATAAAAGTCACATACAACAGAATGTGTTTAGAATTAAGGAGGGCTAGCTGGGTGTGGTGGTGCACGCCTTGTGATCTCAGCACTCAGGAAGCCAAGACAGGGGGATTGAAAGTTCTGGGCCAGCCTGGGCTACGTTTGAGACCCTGTCTCAAAAAAACAAAAAAAGAAATAGAATTATGGAGGACTAAATGTCAAAGTAAAAACAGACTCCTAGGGGATCATATGCATGAGATGGTTACAAGCAAGGGCCTGGCTTTTACTTTTCAAGGAATGCTGTTGCCAGTCCAATGGCCTACCTGCCAGACTGCGAGGTTTGGAACAATGGTGTTCTAATAATCTTCCTATTCAGGCCTTGGCCTTGGTGGAGGGGAAGAAAAGAGGAAAACGGGAGGGACGTAAAAGAAGGAACAAGATGGAGAGAGAGAGAGAGAAAGAAGGGAGGGAGTGAGAGAGGGAAAAGGAGGGTCCACCCCTGTATCTCAGTAAGGCAGATGACTTACAGTCCTCAGTGTCATCTTTCTTGTCTTCCACTTTTGTTTTTGTTGTTCCTTCCATTGTTTTTTTCTTTTTTGTGGTACTGGGGCTTGAACTCAGGACTACACCTTGAGTCACTCCACCAGCCTTTTTTTGTGAACGGTTTATTCAAATCAGGGTCTCACAGCACTGTTTGCCCAGGCTGGCTTTGAACTGAGATCTCCTGATCTCTGCCTCCTGAGTAATTAGGATTACAGGTGTGAGCCACCAGCACCCACCCTTTCCCCCTTTCTTGACAAACCAACTGGTACTTATTACGATGAAGTCTTTGAAATATTCTCAGGGCTTTCTCATCAAGTTAATATTTAACTGTTTTTATGTTGCTCAACTACACAAGTAACACATACAGATTTTTTTTTCTTATAAAAAAATTCAAATAACTGGAGTGGAGGCATGGCTCAAGTAGTAGAGTGCCTGTCCTCCACCAAGCGTGAAGCCCTGAGTTCAAACCCCAGTACTGCCCAAAAAAAAAAAAAAATCAAATGCTAGAAATAAAAATCTTCTTTGTCTACTGCCCTGGCATTCTAGCTCTCCTCTAAGAAAACACTATTTTCAGTTTTGTATGTTTCCGTCCAGATCTTTTTTTTACATAATACACTCATTCAACAAATATTTATTGAGTGTCTACTCTGTGCCAGGCACTGTTCTAGACCTATGGGTCTAGGCATGAACAAAACCAAGTCCCTCTACTGTGGCATTTAATTCAAATGGTAACACAGAGAAATAGGTCATTTTGTCTTAAATGTAAGACAAATGGTGATGTACTGTGCTACTGTCCTTATCCCTGTGCCTCTTTCCA